GTACGTAAGTAAGTAAGTAAGTAAGTAAGTAAGTAAGTAAGTAAGTAAGTAAGTAAGTAAGTAAGTAAGTAAGTAAGTAAGTAAGTAAGTAAAGTTTTATTTATATAGCACCTTTAACAGAAATAAATTCACAAGCAGCTGTACATTCAGGGAAGGGGGAAGGGGGCAGTTCAGACGGGTCATGCACCAAAACACAGTTGTGCTACCGTTAACAACAGAAAAACTAAAAACCACACAAGGGAAGAAGAGGAAAAAAGCAAAAACATCTTATTATATCAACACTGTGAGACACTATGGTGTTTATGAAAAAAACACTACGGTGTTTATGAAAAAAACCTCTACATAGAGCAGATTTATTAGCCAGAGGAGTAAGTGAGTTTAGGGGGCCTGAAGAATCCAGTCCCCTAAACAAGCGCAGCCTGTGAGACCCTCAGCCTGCTCAGGAGTCAGATCATACAGGTGAGAGAGGAGTGGGGAAGGTGTGGGGCAGAGCCTTGTTGACATAACCCAGCCAGGAAGAATTTAGTCAGCAGCTCAAGGCTATTGTCAGGGAGATCCAGATTCTGTAATCAGTTGTTTTGGGAGCAAAAGAGACAGGCAGATGATAACAATTTTCCATCCGCTTTAATGATCTGCTGGTGCATCTCAAGGTGGTGAATCCAATCATACAAAATAATGTGGACAAATTCCGCTGAACCGATCCATCAGCTTCTCCAAGATCAATTCCATCTGGCCAGCAAAGTCCAGGGACCACAGCCGGTCTGCGACCCTCAATAGAACTGCTTGCAGACCGAGTCCAGCTCGCTCAAGGCAAATGTCTGAGTGCTGAATAGAATACGGCCATCCATCAAATTGGTCAGTCAGCCAGGAGATGAAAAGCCACCGACGCTGATTTGTAGACCACCAGGAGACCACCAAGTCAATCTGTAGAATCCAGTGATCGGAATCCAGATATACAGTATATCCAGAACAGAGAAGAACAGAGGTCCCACCTTTGACATGTCCTCCCCTGGAAGAAGAAAAACACTTTGTTCCAAAAATTTTATTAAGAGACCAGCTAACCAAATCCATAAAAATAAAAATATTCATAAATTCTGGTTTCAGATGAAAAATGTAGAGAAGGCTCCAAGCAGCAACGCAGGGAAGATAAGGAAGGGCAGGAGAGAAGGAAGAAGTGTCTTACTCCTCCGAGAGCGGAAACAAAAAAAAAAAGGAAAAAATTCTGAAAGAAGAAAAAAAATCTATTATAGCTGGAACTTTATTTATATGTGATAAAATGTCATATACAGAATGTAACAGCAGGAGTTACATTTAGTACAGTCTGAGTTTAGTTTGTTCTCTAACATCAACAACAATGATCTCATATTCCATCATACAGATTTTAAAATAAATATTGGTCATACTTTGATTTGAGTTGGTAGCCACAGTTAATCAACCATAGAAAATGCACATACAAATGTCTTAAATATATATATATATATATTTTTACAAATATTAGGCTAAGCTTTTGTGGCATAGTAGTAGCTAAATGTCATACCTAGCTCATAGATTGCTAACAGATTGTGTGAATTTTCTTAAACCTTGGTATCATTGCCTACACATGCTACTTTTAATTGTCTCTTGTTTGCTTGTTAATCTTCAGTCTGTTCACTGGTTTATCTGTTGGTTTTATTTTCTCATCTCCTTTGTCATATAATAATTACTGAACCTGCCCTTTGACAGCCATTATCTATTATTTTTGTTTTTTAAGTCTCTGTTTTTGTCACTTCCTTATGAGTTCCAAGTTGGTGTAGCTTGTGTTCTTGCATTTGGGTGCTATTTTTACACAGATTCCTGTGTGACACCAACAGTGTGTAATGCAATAAGCAATGCTAAAATAAATATTGTGGGCTAATTGCAGCACACTTTCTGCTGCCTGAAAATCTCACAGAGACCAATGACATTCAGCCAGTCACTTGTCTGACCTCCTGCTCTCTCAGGAAGGAGACAAATGTCTTCTCCAATATGACATACAGTACATGGCCGCCACCCCCAAATGTGATAATAATACAATCTCTCAAGTCGGCACGTCTTTAGTCTTTAAACATTTAAAACCACAGAATACAACTCTGGAATCAAATTTTGCAACAAAAGACATTAAAACCGACAATGTTTCCCTATTAGTTTAAAAGAACTTATAGTTTTGTTCAGCATTCTACTTCCATACCAGTACATTATAAAACAAAGTTCAACACACACAACTTTATTGTGTTTGATAATTGGCCACATAATGATTCTTATAAGACATTGTTAAAATGAATACCAGATAAAAACTGTTGGGTTAAATTTAAGATTTGTGCAAAGTCACAGCTCATTGGTTTCTGATTAAATCTGTTTAAAATTGGCAGCTCAGTGGTTAGCACCAATGCCTCACAGCAAGAAGGTCCTGGGTTTGATTCCCGGTTTGGACCTGGGGTCTTTCTGTGTGGAGTTTGCATATTCTCATGTTTGCGTGAGTTTTCTCTGGGTACTCCAGTTTCCCCCACCACCTAAAAACATGTCAAATGTGTTGCCTTCAGGCACAGGCCGCCCTTGAAAAAGATTTCAATTGGATTTGCCTGGTTGAATAGCAATAAATAAATAAATTTAATTAATGAATCTATCAAATACAAAAAACCTGTTAAAAATAATTGTAAAAAAAAATATTTCTACATTAAAAATGTGTTCTTCTAATATTTGTTTTGTTGTTATAACAATTTTGAACTTTAAAAGTTTAAATAATAATAATAATAATAATAATAATAATAATAATTCAAGCTAACATAACCTGGAAGAAAATTATAGAAGGTGCTTGCTTTCAGAGACTTGTATTTAAAAAATACACATATATGTGAGCCATCACATCAAAACGAGGATTAAGTCTAAAAGTGGTTTATGGAGAAAAAGGCAAATATAGTATTTTGACTAAAATGTTAAAAATGGCATTTTGTCAAAATATAATGAATAAAAGCCTCATCAATGGATCATTTCAATGAACTGTCTGAAATATAATCATAAAACAAAATTTTGAAACACTTTTTTGAACAGTAGCAACAAAACACTGATTTTGAGGAAAAACGCCTTAAAATGTTGAGATTTTCCCTGTTAGTTAACAAAGTTTTGTTTCTTTTTAGCTGGGAAATCTCAATATTCATATATAATTTGAGGTTTCCTCTACTGTATATAAGGACATCAAAATTTCCTCTTTAAAATGACATAAAATTAGGATTCAGACCAAATTTTTAAGTATTATTTGGCTTGTGCCAAAAGGGGCTGTCGACACGACGTTGCGAAGCCCGGTGACGTAATTTTCGTCATTAAACTGCGACAACCCGTGCCGACGTCAGCAGTTCGCAGGGGGTATGTTTCCAGCTTAAATCCTCATTTCGATAAGATGGGTCACATATAGCAATAACAAGAAACAAAAAATACTCTGGCCTCTGGCCTCGTCCATGGTCAATGAAAAGTTTGATGATAGATGAAATATTGATGCCCTGCAGTTGAACTGGAACAGTTTGATGTCAGTAATTGTCTAAATCAACTTGAGACTACAACTGGTGTTTCACCAGTCACCTTCCTGAAAGACAAGAAGCTTTAATTGAATTGTTTACTTCAGGTCCGGCATCAAAATGAAACCCAAA